CCTAACTCTATATATTGTATGAAATTGTGTCCTATAGTCACTCTATTACAGATGGAGTAATGTAAAGAAATAAATTTCTCCCTGGGATTATTAAAGTTTTTCTGATTCTGATTCCTGGTTGTTGTGAAGGAAATGGTGCCCAGCTTGAAAGAGCTCCTGTGTGTCGCTGAATGTGAGCATTGATGACTGAAAGACATCTTCTGCCTCCATTTATCTGTTTACTACAGTGTGTTGATTTCATGTTAATGAGTATTTAAAGACATTTCAATTAGTGGGAAAAAATGCAGGGGGGGAATATAAAAATATCAACTAACCATGCAGACCCTCATGCAGTACCTCCGTAGACCCCCTAGGGGTCGCGGATCCCCTGTTGAAGACCTCCGCTCAAGAAGATTTTACTAACACAAACTGAGGGACCAGGCTGAGGTAGGAATTTAAGGTTACTGAAGTGCGGATTTTTTTACTGAAAGCCGGCGGGCAAACTTGTTGCCATCATCCTCACCGACCACCTGGTCATAAACCTGTTTTAAGTCGCCTCCATGCTGCTGTGGCTTTCACGCTGCATTTTGTTTTGATGACGCACGCGGCTGTAGGCTACGACGCTGGTAGCTGGTGTTGCCAGATTGGGTGTTTTTCCCGCTACATATTAAGGCCTGTTTACGGTGTGATTTAGCTGGGGTTTCGCCTGGAGGGCTCTATAGAAATCTGGCAACCTATTGAACGGAGTTGAACTGAGAGAGCGTGCCGTTCACAGACGCCAGAATGAACGAGTTCACAATAACGTTCATCAGGCAATAATGCAGTACGTTCAGTTCACGTTCGCCCAAAATATGAACGAGTTCATGAACTTTCGTTCAATGAACGCGTTCAGGCACAACACTGGATGTGGGAGTCTTTAAGGGCCCAGGAGGGAGTCTGGCTTTTGGAACTCTTGGTTTTTCACACAGAAAGCAGCTTCCTGCTTTTTAACAGGTTTCAGAATGTAGAGGAGTGCGCTCAGCAAATGTAAGATATTTGGGTGATTTTATCCATTTAAAATCTACCAACTCTGCTTATGCTTTCATTTAAAAAAGCATAAATCTGAGGCTGCTGGCAAACAATATTTCTTTTCTAAAGTTATGCACAAAATTCTGTATTAAGATTAACCTCACACAGACATACTCCCTTTCCTTATGTTTGTTAATTATGATAATTTTCTATTTACACATAATGAAAATGCAATTATTTAAGATTAGAATATCCCATTCCACCAATAATCTTTAATCCAAAAATGTCGTCTTATGTAAAAAAAAAAAAAAAAAAATTTTTTTTTTTTTTTTTAATTTTACAAATGAGCTTCTCCCAAAGACAAATTCTAATCCACTATATGACTTTATTCACATAAGTTATATTCAACTGTCAACAAAATTCTCTTAAATATTTAGGAAATGATCTTCTCAGAAAATAGTTCAGAATGCCCTGCAGTGTTCTTATCACCTTATTTATTAAAGATGTAGCAATTTAATGTTTTACTGATATAGAGTAATACCAATTTGCAAAGACTTCAAGTGATTTCTAAACCATTTGATCTGGACTCTTATTAATTTTACTATGTCAGGTATGACATTTAATGGGTATTGTATATTTGGACTATCTAAGCAGCCTGGCTAAACAGTAAATAAATTTACAATGTTATATTGTGAGATTCATATATCCAATAAAATTTTTAACAGTTGTCAAAGTGTCTGTAAGTTGGAGCTTAGAGGATGTATCACAATTTTTTGGCAAAAAACAAAAATACTTGTTAAAGTTCTAAATCCTTTTTCATATGTTCATCTTCTAATTAAACATCTCCATATTTTACTGCAGCAAAAGGGTTTTTGTTTTATTTATAACCTTCGTACATTATGATTTTAGATTTATACGTTTCTTTGCGGCACGTCTTTGGTAAATGATATGCCACTCTCACGTGTGTAATATAACATCTCTTTGAAATTGCAGATGTACACACTCTACGTTACACACAGGCTAATGTCGTCAGAGAGTGATGGGGCACCATCCTGCACTCTGAAAAAAAGTTGTCTGTTCCATCTCAGGCATATAACAATAAGCCCAGGGCTGCATTCCAGTGGGCTTTCTCTTTGAAATGGGATACCGGCACACGCATTACAAATATATCTCCTGTTTTATCTTCCGGGCCAGGCCCATGGAAAAATTATTCCAAATACCTGCCGCGCTTTATCTGGAACCCTGGAATAGGTTAGGCCCAGGCGGGAACACGAGGATGTCTAAAATAAGGCCTCTATTACGGGATGGAGTGGAGATGGATGGGACGGAGCGGGAAGGGATTCGGATGGTGGGGGTATTTTAGGTGTATCAGCCCCCGTGAAAAAGGGCTTGTTGCGGGGGCTTTAAAGTCTACAATGTAGGCCGATGTCAGCTGTTGCACAAACTGCATGTGATGGGGGAGGGTTTAAGCTCAGACGGACGCTTATGTGGTCTCATACGTCCGTTGCTGAGTGGCGGTATAAATAACATTTTTCCTACAGATGTTCTCACCTTGATAAATCTGCTTGTGGCATGCGGTAGGACGGCCCAAACGAATGCCTATATTTACGTGCTTCGACCTCCGCATGTTCATGCTCAAAGTTTTCAAGAACAATATTTTATTTTAATTGAATAACTGGCCCACTCACAGTTTTAGTTGAAATTGTAAAGGTTTCACTTAAAATATTTTATAGCACATTTTTTATATATATATTTTTATATAAATAAAACAGCTTGAAACAATAAATACAATACAATAAATACAAAGCCACAGGGATATATGAGATGGGATTATTTGACTGTGGAACTTACCTGTCTGAAAAACACATAAAGAATTCTTCTGGTATAGTAGACCAAAGAAGGCTGTTAGTTGAGGCTGTTTTTACACATTTCCATTGCTATTGATTGTTGAATCTAACTTAGTTGATCTAATTAGCGATTAAAAGAGAAGGAGGATGTGGTAAATTATGAAGGATGAGAATAAGAAAAGCTTAGCAAGAGGTAAGATAACCAGGAGAAATAAGTGCAGATGCTATCACGAGAGGTGGGACAAACTGGTCTGAAAGGTGTTGAAAAAGCCTCCTTGAGAATTTCCTTTATCTCTATGATTCTCTTTGGTGAGACCCAACACGGATTCTGTCATCGTCACCTCTAGAGTCCTGCTGACATTTCCTTCATCATTCCAACGTGTCTAAGCACTTCAGACCAGACTTGCCCAAGAAACACTTGTCATCTAAATAGTTCCCATAGCAGAATGGAGTAGCGGCCAGAAGAATCAGCAAACTGGTGGTGCTCGCAATCTGTTAGAAAGAAGAAATTGTTGCACATGATCTCAAATGCTGAACTAATGAGAATATTTTTCTTGAATGCTCATTACAGAGAACTTTAAGCTGAACACGGAAACCTTGAAGATCATCGTGATTTATCACTGCTGCATCATTTGTATTTTTGGCCACTTTCTCGTTTGTGGCAGTAATATTGTTTGGACAGCGCCTCATACCTTTCTAAAGATATTAAGCTCTGGATGCGTATATCTGTGCAGCCAAACTAATGCTGTATTCTATATGTAGGGTTGGGAGGTTATTTACGGATGGCATTATTTACTTTACATCCATATTAGTTTATGAATCATAATATAGAATACATTTGTGGGACAGTTTTATTTATTTTTAAGCCTCTATCATACTTACAAACTTACCTACTAATTTACTGGGTTAAATATATATGAAAGAAGCCAGAAGTGATTTATCAGGTAAGAATTACCTGGGGATTTTTCCTGGTCAAGGCCTAGCTTCATACCTACTTATTAACTAAGGCTGCTCTAGTTTGAATTAAACAGTTTGAGGCACACATTTGAGTGTTTATGTTAGAGGTTTGCAGTGACGCGTAGCTTAACACCAGTGCTGAAGTCCTACATGTTGCTTTTAACTCTTGTTCTTTGTTATTCTTATCCATAAAAGTACTCCAGACTTACAGTCTATATTTAGCTGTTTCCTCCCCAAACAAAGCAATTGATGCTGCTATTTCTGATGATAATTTTGCTTTAGCTGTTTTTGCAGTATTTTTCAGGCCCATAGGAAGTATTTTTACCACAGTGCATCTGTCCAACCTGAAGCCAGAAACAATAATAGTAGTTAAAGACTAATAACAGTAGCCTTACTGTTATGTTTTTTTTTTCTTTTTGTACTCTCATTCAGTCTTGTTTTGTATTTAATTGTCTAATACCGACACAAAAATATATATTTTTTTCCTTTTGATAGTTACTGGTTTATTTTGTGACCACACAAAAAGTGACTATTTTGCATTATTTTGATTAAATGTATCTGTATTTATTTGATCTCATTAAACTGCTTTGATTTAAAGTTGAAAAGGACATTGTGGAATTTTTCATGTGTAACAAAAATTTTGCCCTTGTGTAAAGCTGTATATGAAAAGAACCTGTTTGTGTTATAAAATGCCCTCTGATAACATTTATGTGTATTTAGTTAAATAGTATTAGGACTCTCATAAAGTCATTATAACACCTGCAATAAATAAAGACATGTTTAAAAACGTCCTACTGGTATGATTTTGTAGAAAATATATATTTAGAAAATGTGTAGTTTACCCAGCGAGATTACCATAGCAGTGCACTTGATAGTAATTGTATTGCCCAACCATTTTAAAATAAATAGAACTGGTTTGGACTAAAATAGTGAAGAGTTCAAGATTGTTTTCCTTTTTAATCATTTAAGAGCAAAATTGCTTGAGTTTATATTTTAAATCTTACTGTTTGATTATACAATTTAACCAGCCTAATTGAATTTATTAAAATCTTTCACAGAAGTAAAGACATATTTTTTTTCTAAAAAGGACAGTAATACTAAAACCAATTTGAAAATGACCTTCCCTTTGTCATGCCACAATGCACAGGGACCAGATTCTTCTCTTTTTACCCATCTCATGTGTTTCCCACTTGTCCATCTTTCCCCCAGGGCTGACTCTGTCAAGGTGACGCAGCCCATGAGCGGGAACCAGTACCACCAGCCGGCATCGGCTCGCAAGTCAGCCAGCTTGTCCTCACCAAGCGCAGCTCGCAGACTCTACCGCAACTTGTCTGGAAAGTTCCGCGTGGGCACCAACCCTCCCGCTCTGGAGGATAACGTGGTGTCAGGGCGGGTAGGGGACAAGGAGAGGCTGCGTAAAACCACCGTAGTAAGTCACAGAAGAAAAAAACAAAACAAAAACAACAATATTGTAGTCTAAAAATGGTCATGGAGAGTTCCTAGAGCAGACAGAGCCTGGGAACCTGCTAACTACAGCCATGCATGGCAGAAATCATGCAGGGAGAAAACCCTGATGACTATGTTAAGTGTAAGTTTGGCTGAAATGTCCCAAAATATCCGGACTTCTTTGTGTATCAGTTTCAGAGCAATGAGGCTTTGTTTGAGGCGGTGGAACATCAAGAACTGGACCTTGTCCAGCTGCTTCTGTCCCAGTACAGTCTGGAGGAGCTGGACCTGAACACTCCAAACAGTGAAGGTCTCCTTCCTCTTGATATTGCCATAATGACCAACAACGTGCCCATGGCTAAGCTTCTGCTGCGAGCTGGTGCCAAGGAGAGCCCCCACTGTGAGTACAGAGTATTTTTAACTTGTTGAACCTCAAGGAGGTAACAGTGAAGTAAAAAAAACGAACAAAAATACAGATTCTAAGATTAACCCCGCAGCCACATCCACAAAGTTCTATCCCTAACCATTTTTTAAACCTATCTGGTATCATTATGAGTTAGCATTAAAGAAACATAGATGCTAGTAGATTATGTTCAATATGTGAGTCCCAGAAATACATTTATTGGGCAGCTGAGAGAGCTATATCGAGACCTGTCAATGGAGGCGGGTAAGAGAAAAAATAGTGTTTGAAAAATGTGCACAAGCAACAGGCATTAGATCACATCTTAACAAAATACCAAATTAAAAAGCTCTTACCTGCCCTAATGACAAAAAAGAGTGGGGTTTAGTTAATAAAAGTCTATTTTTTATCTGCAGTTTATTTAGAAATCAGGATCCAAGAGTCTGAATGAAGTTGAGAGGCAGGCTGATTAAGGTCGGAATCAAAGTTTTTAAACACAGTAATTCAATCTCTGTTTGGACGCAGGTGAAAAAATTTAAGTAGACTGATTAAATTGATAATATGTAACTTTTAGGCCTTTGCTGCAAAGGAGGATTCATCATGACTCAGCTGAGAAAATCACAGATTCCTTCAATAAAAAAATTAAATCTTTTTTTTTATTTATTTCAGGTTAAAGTTGACCTGCTTGACCAGAATAAGCTTAGTCATTTCCCAAAGATTACATATAATACTGTTAAGCCTTAAATGATTTAAATATAAAGTGGTCTTTTCATTCTTCTAGTGTGTTTTTTGTCTTCTGACTGGAATATTTTCTACTATTTTGGAGTGGCCTTTCATAGTCCTTTAAAATACAACTTAAAACTGATTCTTTTTTCAAATGACATTGTTTCATTATCTGTCTGCATGTCTCATTTCCTATTAGAAACAAACCTGCTGGGGTTATGAATAAATGTGCGCCTCCTTTTCCCCTTTTTATGGACAGGAACTTATTTCTTTAATGTGTAAAACACGTGAAAGGTGCTAAAGGGCTGCTAATCATGACGCAATATTAGTCATCTTTATAAGCACTTTTCATTTTCTGTGATCTGCAAGCCTCCGCTCCCTTCTCCCTTCCTCTGTTAATGATTAGAACTCGCCAGTAAGGCTCCAAGGCTGTTTGTGTTTTTACTCATGTGCGCCCCCCCACACCACACACACACACGCACACATATTTTCAAGAGCTGAGCCAGACGTCTTATAAAGGTATCATGAAATTGGAAACACTTGAATGGAAAATGGTGATTGCTAAAGTCTGAGTCTTTGATAGTGTTCTCTATCAGAACACAAATAGTTTTGTTTAATAGTTTGTGGAGGATCGCAAGACCAGACAAGGACAATCAAATAAACCCTTTTAAGCGGTTACAACTTCACATTCTATGTTTTTTGTGGCCCCCAGTAAAACAAAGCCTCTTCATTTCATTTTTCCTATTTACAAATCAATGATGTAGTGCTGTCTTTTAAAATTATTTGCACCCCATTGACATTTTTTACATTTTGCAACAGCACAACCAAAGATTTGTTGTTCATAATAGTGAAGGAGAGGCATACAAAGTTTTGATATATATATATATATATATATATATATATATATATATATATATATATATATATATATATATATATATATATATATATATATATACTTTATAATATCTGTATATATTTTTCTTTTCACATTGAGATCTGAAATGTATGGCATTGTTTTGATTCCATTCCCCTTTACTCCTTTATCTCCTTGAATAAAAATCCATCCATCCATCCATTTTCTGATACGTTTTATCCCGAGTGGGGTGCTGAGGTGTGCTGGTGCCTATCTCCAGCTGTTTACGGGCGAGAGACGGGGTACACCCTGGACAGCTCTCCAGTCCATCGCAGAATTAAAATAGAAATGTGAATAAAAATCCACATGTTTGTAATCAGTCTGCAGCTGTTTACAGGATCATTAAGGTAAGGGAGAAAGTTGTGTGGAACCTTTAAGCAGAGTTAGGTTCTAAAACTAAGCTTCTGACATCTCACAGAGCTCTGTTTAATTCATCATCCATTATTGAAGATGATATTGCATGATTTCAAAGTTGCAGAACAGTAGTTTTCACTGACTGATGGGCAAGGAGAGCATCAATCAAAGAAGCAGTCAGATATCTTTTCTTACTTTGCAGAAACTGCAACATTTTGCAGCTCAGGTTGGAGAATCTGTTGAGAGGACATCCATTAGTTATACTGTACGCACAATCATTTTATAGAAAAGTAGATGAAAAAAAGTTTCCATTTGTGGTTTGCCACCAGCCACACAGGGAGTGTGTCAGACATGTGGAAAAAGGTGCTGGAGGTCAAATGACATCATAACTGAACTTTGCGGCCCACATTAAAACCTTATATGTGGTGGAAGACTAGCACTTCACATGAACCTGTAACAAATAGTTAAACATGTTGATGGCTGCGTTAAACTGTGGGAGTGTTTCTCTTTAGCAGATAGAGAGAATCTGGGTAGATTTAGGTAAATGAGGGTTGCTACTAAGGCTGGGCGATATGGCTTTAGAATCTAATTTCTGGTTTTATTTTCCTATCAACTCTGATTAATTGATTTTTATTTCTCCATAATTTTCATAATAAAAACGCCAAGTCTTAAAACAAATAAGTAGCTTTGAGAAATGACCTTTATTTAAAGGGCATAAAAATTCAAGCTGTGAAAACACTAAACAATGTTTTACAACCAACAATGAAAGTATAACAAACTAAATGTCTGAAGTTAACAGTATCACCAATCAGCTCATTTATTAGTTTTATGTACACATTTCTGCGATGGACTAGCGACCTGTCCAGGGTGTACCCCGCCTCTCGCCCAATGACTGCTGGAGATAGGCACCAGCACCCCTCGCGACCCCACTTGGGATAAGCGTGTTAAAATGGATGGATGGATGGATGGATGGATGGATGGATGGATGGATGGATGGATGGATGGATGGATGAATGGATGGATGGATGGATGGATGGATGGATGGATGGATGGATGGATGGATGGATGGATGGATGGATGGATGGATGGATGGATGGACACATCTAAGTAAAGCAATGAACTGATGTCCCCCTGATCTATGGAAGCCCAAGAAGTACATTGATTAAAAAAGAAAAAAAAAATTCAGAATTTTCAAAAATGTAATATTTGTGAACAGGAACTGCACTCTATAATTAATCCTCGAAAATTAGTTCCTACTCAGTCTAGCATAAAACTAAAAAAATTACTAGCTTCCCATATCTTGTTTTTTATTCCTTTTTCTAAAACTTTTCCTTCTTTTTTGTGTTCCTCCTTACTTATATCAATTCTATCCCTTTTATTCTGTCCTTTTGCCATTACTTACCAATCCTGTGGGTGTCCTTCTTTTTGTCCAACTTTTTAACCTTCCTTTAAATTTCAGTTTTGTCAGGCCTCCACTCTTTCTTATTTTTAGCATATTGCATAGATATAACCTACTTTTTTTTACAAATTGATCTTCACAGTTGCCATCCTTCTAAACTGACTACACTTGACAACAACAAGAAAAAACAGAAAATCTCCTCATGTTAATAGATATACTATTCTAAAGTCATAGAGCTGTACCAGTAGATAAAGAAATGAATAAAATATTGAAACTTGGAACTGAACACTAATGAGTCCCATAGTTTTTTTTCATTTGTGCAAATTTTGAAAATGTGCATCGGTTTCCTTACATTTCACCATTATGCTTTTCCTCATGTTTGTCCCACACACGAAACCCCAATGAGGTGCTCTGAAGTTTGTGGTTGTACGACACTCAGATTCAAAGTGTAGCTTGGAGCCACTATGGAGACACAGAGGGAGCTGCAGAATTAAACACCCAGATGGACATTTTGACACGGAGCTCTAAACTTACTGTCAACAGTGGAATCTAACGCTCAGTGGTGGAATCTACAATGAACAAACGCAGACCACACAGACTAAACACAGACCCACAGCAGTTCCAAACACTTGAAGAAATGACCAGCCACCAAAGGCGTACAGTTCGCTACTGTCTTCTTTCTTTCTTTATATTACCTGATTTAGACTTTTATTTGAAATATTCTGCATGCTTTTGCTACCGGAGCATGCAAACCTTTGTAATTTGGGTCTTATGCATCAATAGCCTCTATCACTGACTGCAAAGGCCATGTTTGAATATTTTCATGGGGTGTTACATCTCATTAACTGCAGTGATGGGTTTCATTGTTCACTGGATTGTGGCAACACCCTAAACCTCTTTAAGAAAACATTCCTCTGCTGTCTCTGTTCAGCTATGTTCCATTATATAAATAGATCGGTGACACAAAAATTTCCATAAGTTTTGCAGAAAAATAGTTTTACAGCGTCCATCGAAGCTGATGCTCCCTCGCTCTCATGCATATTCCCACCGCTCTGTGCTCCTTCAGAACCGCACAGAGGGACACTCCTCCCTCTCTCACCCCCTTCGTACTTTCATTGCCCCATTTTCCCTCATTTTCTAGGTGATGTAATTCCCATAGAGAGGCTGCTCAGTTACAATAAATGGATTTTATTGGAGAATCTGCCACAGCATTTTAGCAAACAGAAATTAAACAGAAGTGGCCTGCTAAAGTGATTTGCAGCATGGAGGGCAGGCAGTGGCTTTCCTGTCATGTGGGGTTCATTTTCAAAGCTGGAGCTAAGAATAAAATTGATTCAAAATGTAATGAACTCACTCTCTCCTTAGGAAATCTATAGAGTCAAAACCTCAAATTTAAAAGAATGTAAAAATGATCTCTGTAAGGATCAGTACCATCAATAATTGCTTACTGGTATAAAAAATTTTGAATCTGTCTTATACTGATTTTTTTCTTTGTGTCTGGTGTTCATAGTTGTGAGCTCGGAAGGCCGAGCGGTGCACTTGGCCACCTTGGTGCAGGAGGCCGAGCAGAGGGTGTCAGAGCTTCAGCCCCAGGTCCATAGCGAGGGTCCCAGTGAACGGGAAGGATCCGAGCAGGAAAGGCAACTGAAGGCTTGGGAGTGGCGGCTGCGCCTCTTCAGACGGATGCAGACGGGCTTTGAGCATGCTAGTAAACATTTCAGATAATACCTTTCGCCCCACAGTTATATTTTTTATTGTTTTATCAAACATATCTCCTCTACTGGCCTGTATTGATGAAATTACAGTACTTCCATAATTGAAAATGTAAACAGACCATGCAATTGTGAGTAGATTTTATCCCTTAGAGCTGAGTTATGCTTTTAATTCCCCTTAGTTGTATCATTCTGCCTTTTTTGGTCCGGTGTTCTAAACTTTTGTGGGTAAATGGTGTAAACTTTACAATTTCAAGATGTTCCAGGGCCAGAATACATATATACTAATCAGGTATAATGATGGCAACCTGGCTCACCTGCATCTCTGCAGAGGAGGTTTCAATTCGCCTTTATATCTTCAGTTTATCTGTCGTCACTCCTAAACAAACCACAAGATCCTTGAACTCCTCCACTTAAGGCAAAGACTGACCCACTTGAGAAATATGGCCTAAGACTTAGAGAAGCTGACTCTCATTGTTGTTTAAGACACTAATTATGAGGTGCCGTGAAGTAGAATAACAAACACTTGCATCTGTAAATCCGAGATTAACGCTGGATCCCAGTCTGAAGCCTTTCTTTAAAAGCCGCAACATGTTGTAAAGATTTCACTCTGGGCGGCTGCTTCTCTTCTAATTGACTTCTTTTCTTGGTTTTCCTGTCTCCCCAGATCCTCCAGATGCTCTCAGTGTTGTTCGTCTGTCTGTCAGCAGCAACACAAGTTTGCAGGTTGACTTTCAAGAGCCTGCCTGTGTCAACTCGGCTGTAGTTACGAAGTATAAAGGTCAGCCTCATTTAAAGAAAGCCATTTAAAGTAATGAGGTGTCTAAATCTTTCTGTTCAGTGAGAAAATTCAACGTTTAAATGTTATGTTTAAATGTTTAAAACATTGAAGTGTCTTTTTTGCTTTTAATTAGTGTCTTGGAGCTCCACACCTTCATTCAGTCCCATACTGGGGGAAATGATAGTGGATGATACAGCGTTACCACAGTGCAACATCACTGGACTAACTTCTGTAAGTTCTACCAGAGCCACTGCTTCAGTCCAGTTTATTACTGATGAATCTGCTTTACAGTTTTTTTGTTTTTTTTTTTAAGTTCCAGGTGTCCATTTTAAGTTAAAGCAACATTTTCTTTTTGTTTTAATTTAAATACCTTTTTAAAAAGACTTGCTTTTATAATTTCTTGGACAACCACTTGTATCCTGGGGAGTCTGTCTTAAAATCTTAAAATAAGTATCTTTAAAATACAGCAGTATAACCTGCCATTGCAAAAAAAAAAAAAATGTTAATGAATACTCATTTAAAAATTATATTGTTCATAGAAATACCTGGTGCCTGCTGTTAATACTTTATACCAGGGGCGGATTTAACATTAGGCTAAACTGGGCAGTTGTGTAGCTCCCGAAGTTCCTGGGGGGGCCCATAAAACTCCTTTTACATGTATGATTTTACTTATTTGTGCACATTAATTAGTTTTGATAAAAATTCTTTTGTTAAAAGGCCATCAGAATGCTTATAATATTAAGTGTTTCTTTGTCAGCTGAGCACATTGCCAATATGAAAATTAAAAAGGGAGAAAAGAAAACATAGAGAGAAAAACTGCATTAAAAGGGGTAAGAAGAGAGGGACAAAAGGTAGAAAAAAATCATGTACGTCTATTCAATAAAAATTTCTGTATCTGTATAATGGGTCTGTTTTATGAGTTGCCTTCCCAATTCAGAAGGCCCCATGCCTGTCTTTGCCTAGGGCCCCAAATTTCCTAAATCCGCCCCTGCTTTATACCATTCCATTTTGTCAACGTGACACATTTTCTTATTTAATCACGTTTTGTTCTGCTTCAAATGGGTTTCATTAGCATGTGCTTTTTTTCTTTATTACCAGGAAAAGGGCTCACAGAGTGATGGATATTCTTATGTACATAACACATTCCATCTCATTAGTATCATATGGCCAATGCACACTCCTCTAATGATTTGTGTTTCTAATCGGAGGGCAGAAAATGCTTCTTTTTTTCTTGCATGTCTACCAGAAAATGGTCTACAATATAGAGAGCTTTTTTTGGTATATATGGATTCATGATGATCCGTTCTTAAACAAAGATGCCAGTTTTATCCACTGTTTTCTAACAAGGAGCTTTGGAGCAATTTTTTACCCTCTTAAACATCCTGTTCAACATCTATGGTTTGTGATGATCTTAGATTCCAAGTAACAGATGTTCTAATTTTATACTTAGATTTGTTTTTGCTCAGTTTGAGATTACTGTACTGTATCAAAACAGGAATTCATTTTGCAGCCTTTTTTGCCTTTACACAGAGAGCCAATAAATACAGTACATATCTTCTGCATAGTGAACCATGATAAACAGTATCCTGCTGAAGCAGTTGCATTTCTATTTCACTACCAGTAAAAAAAGCTCCGGTCACTTTTTGAATTGTAACTTATTCATGTCAAATCACTAAAACAGCTTCCCTGTAACTTCTTCTGCTGGTTTGTCTAACTATAAATTCACTAGTTTTTTCCCACCTGACAACATATGTACAACTATTACTGTACATTCACATCGGCTCCAACCATTGATAAAACACCCCCCTTTGTCCCTTTTTAGTCCCAATCAAAGTTTTCTCCTGTCACTAAGCAGAGGTCAAGAGGGGGTCGGTATATCTTGGCGGCTACTCTAATTGATTGGGCTGCAAACAGAGAAATATGGGCTAGTTGTCTACAAACGCGTCACAGAGACTGGTCCAATCTGTGAGATTTCCAAAGAATTTACCCTTATGCAGATACCGTGAACTACACATGATAATTTGAGGTTAAAGCCCTTGTAATCTGTATCTATGTACTGTTTTCTACTAATTGTCATGTCTCCTGGCCTTTTAGGGAACCTACTACTATGTGCAGGTTTCAGCCTACAATATGAAGGGCTGGGGCCCTCCAAAGGTTTCCACCCCAGCCTGTGCTGCACCATCCAGTAAGTCTCCATTTCTTTTCATGTTGAAGTATAGAAAGAGAAAAAATCAACAGACCACTACTGAAGGGGACCTCCTGTCTATATGATAGGTTGGTCAGATATTATTGAAAAATAGAAATACCAAGAAATGATGGTTCATGTTGGTTTCCTGCATCATGTTCATTCATGATGGACATCTACAGTACAGTTCCTCCACATTTCAGTGCTGCTGTGTTGGGCTCCGTTGGGTAATGAGACACTGTTAGGTGATAGGAGGACAGTGATTTCTTTTTCAGGTTACAGAATCCATTTTGGGATTATCTGTTAGATCCTGCTGGATGCCCTCAGGATGTGATATTTATTCAATGCTTAATTGATACTAGAGAGTTCACAGTTTGCATTATCCCCACTACCATTATACCAACAGCAGTGGCCTAAACTGTTGATGCAGGGCAGAATGGATCCATTCTTCCAGGTTTTTCTACCTGTTCTGAACAAACCAGCTAAATATATCCAGCTTTAATCAAGACTCCTCATAACAGGCAACATTTTTCTAATCTATTATTGTTCAGGTTTTGAAAGTCTTTATAAACTGTAGCCTCAACTTCATGTTTTCAACCAACAGAAGTGGCTCTGGATGTGGCATTGTGTTGATGTAGTCTGCTTCAGATTTGCCTTGTTGTGCTATCAGATATGGTGGTCAGTGGCTCTTTTAGCTGCTATTTTCTGTATCGTTTGGAACTTGTCAAGACATTCTCCTCTGACCTTTTCATTTAATCAATGGATTTTTTCCCTTTTGCTCTTTTTCTGTCAACCCAAGGTCAATCAGCATGAAACTCTTAGTAATGGCAATATGGGCTTTCTGGAAAGGTGTTTCAGAGGAGGGTCCGCATGGACTTTACTCACAAAGAAGGCTGAGTGGGTATTCAGGGTCCCTTTCTAAATGACAGTGAAAGTAACCATGGTCTCAATATGGCGTGTAGGCCTGGGTGGCAGCTTCAAGTGCCAGCCGGGCCTACACACCATACAGAGCTGTGGTTCAGCCAAGACAATAATCGTGAAGTCATGTGTAACAGCTGAGGTGTTAAACACTCCACTGTTCAATCTTCTTTCTTTCTTTCTTTCTTTCTTTCTTTCTTTCTTTCTTTCTTTCTTTCTTTCTTTCTTTCTTTCTTTCTTTCTTTCTTTCTTTCTTTCTTTCTTTCTTTCTTTCTTTCTTTCTTTCTTTCTTTCCTTGAAAGAATAAGAACTGACTTTAATGATTATTGCTGCTGTTAAACATGTACATTTTCTCCCGTGGTTACATCCCCACTACGACAAAGAGAACAAGCTGAACACCCTATCTCTGTGGGTATATTGGTTCTCTCCTGGCACATCTGGGGAACACATGAGCATGTTTGTGCTCATCAGCAAAAACTGTTTTTCAACGAGTGTGTGTATATGGTCTTGGTTTAGAGAAACTAGGCTTTCCCTCTCCCTCCTTTTTTTTCTACTGACCCACCTCCCTCCATTCCTCTCCTGGAGCTAATTTAGATGTTGCATGTTTATGTTTTCCATTTGGGCCTACCACTGGAAATATTTGCATGTCTGTGCTGCAGCAAGCGGGACAGCCCCAACAGTGGGGGCCTTATACCAGCCCGTAGACGCCCATTAAAGGGTCCGCTTGTCTTGTCGGGATAGCCACCTTTCCGGGAATAGAGCTCACCGTGTTTCAGGCCCATTCAGCCTCCAGGGGGGGGGGGTTCAGGAGGGGGGTGGGGTTTGGGATGAGAGAGATGGTTGGCTATCGCTGACTCATCCTCCTTTATTCACACACAAAATGTGCTGAAGTGTTTTTTTTTTTCCTGAAAAGCCATTCCTGTATAACAACAGGAATTGTGTGTTAATCCTTTTTGTGTGGTTGGATGATTTACAGTAGGTAAAGGTCATATTAGTAATAACAAAAGTGGGAAGATGAATACATGTGCAGTAAATCTTTCTTTCAGGCAGCTGGAACAGAGTAACTTATTTTTATTAATACCCTGCAAAAGCTATGCTTGGAAATGACGAATTATTATTTATTTTTATTTATTTATTTAATCGGTAGATTCTGATCGGTAGATGTTGACATAAATGTCTGTGTCCAGCCTGCCTAATTCCAACAGCTCGTTATCAGTGTTTTCTAAAATGTTTCTTTGACATGTTTCTTCAAGGCATGACCTTGCATTAGAAGAAACATGTCAAAGAAACATGCATGGGTAGTGCAAAGCATGACCTTGCATTAGATGAAAAAGAAATTCTTTTTTTATCATTATGCACCAAGAAACTATAACAGCTCTAAAGTGGCTTTATGTGTCAAACTAAAGTGTAAGGGAGTTCAAACATAGTTTGAAATATTGATTCATATGAATTCAACTATCTTTATCTGATAATCCTAAATAAAATCTAGTGCAACAATTAGCCTTAAAGTCACCTAAATAGATAACATTCTGCTTTCCACGTATGTGTCATTTAGCCTCAATATAAATAAGGTTTGTCCGTAAAGGTCATATTTTGCACTATCCATGCACGGACATGTAAAAAGTGCCAAAAGGCAGACATGCAAAAACCCGTGTATGGATACAACTCTATAATGAACAACCCCCTTTATCACATCATCCCTGCATTTTAATATGGTTTCAACAGGTATGCTGTATTTCATGAGGGACACAGAAAGCCAATTACCTTGATAATTGATGGAGCTAGATTCCTCTCCTTAAGAGACATCTAGATCTGTATTCAACTGAAGGTCTGTAGAAAAGTTTTATTTACAAAGCAGATCTACTTACAAAATTGGGTAACATTTGGTTGCAAATCTGGTGGAAAAATAACCCAGAGAACTTGGTGCTGTAATCACTTTGTTTTCACATATTTCTTAAACAAATTGAAGTAAACCATTTTGATTTTGAATAAAATATGTTGCAGTTTTCAATTGAAGAGTAAAACAATGTTGATCATAACGGATGTGAATACCTTTGGATGAATTTTTATTTTTTATGATAATTTTTGAGTTTTGACCGACTGTGTTTATGCAGTGAATGTGTTTCCTAATCAAAAATACAAAATTTTGGTTGATATTCTAACTTTAGGGATTATTTTCAATTCTCAATCCAACAACGTGTCTAGGGCTGCAACTAACGATTATTTTAAAAATCGATGAATCGGCCGATTATTTTTTCGAATAATCGATGAATCGGACAAAACATTTTTTTTATATTAACCTCTTTATTCCAAAATAAACATTTTAGACAGAACAAACAAGCACACAAGTACAGGTTGCTCATTAACTGTACTGGTGCAATATGAAAAATAAATGTTTGTGTCAAAACTACGCAAACTTACATGAGAAATGTAGCTGAACATCCACAAAATATAGGGTACTTTGTTTCAAAAAGCGCAAAAAGAGACAGGCATTTTTGTTTTTTAAAGCCTCTAAGGGGTTCAAACAATAGGCCCCCCCATTTCAACAAATACATTTTTTTTAGACTAGAAGAGTTCTGCCTTTTAAGACAGGAAAGTATAGCAGTTAAAGTTGCTAGTTGAGAAAATACTTAACCATAGAGATAAAAATAGCCCTGTGATTCAAATTATAAATTGTATTTGGAATAAAAATGAGAGAACTAGGGGTGCTAAAAAACACATCCTCCAAAGACAGATATTTACATGGGAATTTGGCATATAATTAATTGACATATTACTGATCTTGCTGGATTTTATTCTGCTTTACTTCCATAAATTGCAGGATCTTCTTTTCTTTATCTTTGCCAGAAGATTTAAACTTTAAAAGCCCTGCCCTCATAATTTGCAAGTTAATTTATTTATAAAGTAAATATAAACGCTGCTTAAAGGGATAGTTCGGTATTTTTGACATGAATCTGTATGGCATCCCCATCACCAGTGTCATGCAATCACACTGACTTACCCCTGGCAGCGTCCTGTGAGCAGAGTTCTCGTCCAGTTTTGGTCAAGCCGAAAGTAGTCCGGCAGGTTTGCTAGAGCCAGCGAAATAAAACGTTTCTCTTCCCAAAACATTATGTGTTCAAAAGAGCGATATTTTTGCATCCCAAAAACATTGTAGTGGAAAAAGTCACACGTCGTTATCAATTGGTCCTATTTTCTCTCTGTTTGTATCAGTGCGCGCCGTCATTCAGACAGCGAGCTCAACAACAGCCAGATGCATGTCTCCCTCCGCCTAGCTCCTAGCTGGGCGGAGGGAGACATGCATCTGGCTGTTGTCAGGTTAGTAGGCCCTAGCTGTCTGAATGACGGCGCGCACTGATACGAACAGAGAGAAAATAGGACCAATTGATAACGACGTGTGACTTTTTCCACTACAACGTTTTTGGGATGCAAAAATATCGCTCTTTTGAACACATAATGTTTTGGGAAGAGAAACGTTTTATTTCGCTGGCTCTAGCAAACCTGCCGGACTACTTTCGGCTTGACCAAAACTGGACGAGAACTCTGCTCACAGGACGCTGCCAGGGGTAAGTCAGTGTGATTGCATGACACTGGTGATGGGGATGCCATACAGATTCATGTCAAAAATACCGAACTATCCCTTTAAGCTAATTCAAATGAAATTAAAAGTAAAATAAGTAGCCAAACTTATCCCTGTCTGTAACCTACTAACACGGTAAGGAAAGCATCAGATGAGCTACCTGAGAAACTAACGTTACGTTTCCCCACTTTAAAACCAAACAAACATGGTTACTCATCCTGCTGATCAGCTCTCATCACTGCCATTGAAGGCTCCAACGTGTTTTCTTTTCAGGTGCTGCTACATAACAGTGGTGCTTCCTTTTTTCACTTTACAAAGCGCAGGCTATTTTAATTATTGTGATCAATTTGCGCCATCAATCCCGGCGCATGCGCGCTTCATTTTCAGTCTTGACGCTGAGGGTAAACTCCTCACTAATATCCTGCGGCTCTGACTGCACGCTCAGAGCGATTCCCGTAGGAGAGGGAGAAAGGGGGATGGGGGAGGCGCCCCACAGCAGGCAAAAGCCGCCAGTGACACCGTAAAAAGTCGCCAGATTTGTCACTAGTCGCTTTTTTGAAAAATAGTCGCTGGAGGGGTCTGAAAAGTCGCTGAGTTGGCAACACTGCAACTGCGGCGCTGACTCGCTTCGCCATAGTTTTTTTCTTCCCCCGGAGGACGGCGGCGGCGGATGACGCATTAATCGCGCGACACAACTAATCGATGATGAAATTTTATCGATTCGTTGTTGCAGCCCTAAACGTGTCCGAGACATATTTTGCATATATCTATCTATCTATCTATCTATCTATCTATCTATCTATGTATCTATCTATCTATGTATCTATCTATCTATCTATCTATCTATCTATCTATCTATCTATCTATCTATCTATCTATATATATATATATATATATATATATATATATATATATATATATATATATATATATATATATATATATATATATATATATATATATATATATATATATATAGGAACCAGCACCCCTCGCAACCCCACTTGGGATTAAGCATGTCTGAAGGATGGATGGATGGATATATATTTATGATTGAAAATTTCATCAAACTGACCTACTATAGAAAATAACTGTCATATAACACAGTAAAATATTGTGTGAGTCGTTCTGTTGGTGTCTCTTACAAAATGTCAAACACTGCTGTTTTAATCACCACTTCCTCTCTACTAGTCATATAATACAGTAAATACAATAATCTCCCTTGGATTTTGTCTTGTTTCTGTAGGCTGGAGAGATATCGATGGCCACCCTCCACGCCAGAGAGGCCAGAAGGAAGCACTCGACCAGCTGCTTGGACAGATTAAAGAAGCTCATCGTCACTGTGCCTGCCATGGTATTAAGACATTTATCAGTGCAAGGCTTTAGGTTTTAGGATTCTATCACTTATCATGTATTATAATTATTTCTGGATTCAGCTTTTACAGTTTTGAGCTAAATTAATCAATTTTAAAACGTTACCTTGGAGTCACATTCCCAACATCAGCATGTTTACTGTATGTTCATTTATCAGGCAATAAGATTAAGTCTTTTAAAGACATTGGTCCATCTATGTTTAGGTTTTTTTATGTTTGATTTTTGTTGAAATTGCAATATTCCAATTATTGCAATTTCAATTAGATTTACATTAATTTTAGATTTGATTATGCTCATTTTAAAACTGTGAGTCTGCTCTTCAAACCTTTTTTTATTTTACCGTAAACCTAATATTAAGCTAAATAAACCTCTGTTCAAATGGATCAATAAATGAAATAAAAACTGGGGGTACTGTAAAGTAAGAGAGAGAATATGATTAACCTCAGTGATTTAGATTAAAATTACTTAACCTCTAACGCCCGATTGCACAAAGCCTCTCTGGGTTTTATTCAGCTCAATGATGGCAAAATTACGAACATTTCATGCACCACACGATACGGAGAAAATGGCTGAATCTGGTGCAATACAGTCAAGCTCTCCAATATCACTGGTTTATTCAAATTAAGTCTTGATACATTAAAATAAATTGTAATATGCTATGATGGCAATAATATGTGGTTTTAATGGGAGATACTGCATGCTTCAGGTCACAACAGGGGAGCTTGTTGCTCTACAAAATGACACTTTCAAGATTCTGTTCATCTCTAAAGACACAATTTCCCTGCTAGGTATTTAAGGGGAAATAATTAACTGTTTAATTTTCCATTTGTAAAACTGAATGAACAATTTGAAATGGGAAAAGTCAAAAGTTGGCTAAAAGATTGCTGCTAAAGGTGTTACATAGATTTATTTGAAATGCAGGATTATTTAAGATTATTTAATACGGTTTGAATGATTAATAATGATAAAAGATATAAAAATGTGACAAACTGAAGAAAAACATATTTTCAAGAAACACCAAACAGTGCAGCAAAATGTATCATTAGATCAAACATCATAGGAAACAGTGAAATTCTGTTAATATGGTGCAGTAATGAAGTCCTCTGCAATGAAGCCTGTCAGTTTCTCCACTGTTGCCGAACAGAGATGCACTTTCAGCTACGTTCTGAGTCATGCGCTGCAAAACATGTTGGAGTAAGAAAGCAGTGCTGGGGACAGCTCAGCTTTGCAGGTGTAACACATTTCACTAATCACTGTGTTTCATTTCACCTTGACAGACACTTTACAATCTGAGGCATGACAAGTACTTCACGCTCCACACATGTTAAGAAGGCATGTCACCTCTCCTCTGTCTTAGCAACCCGAGCAACCCAGACCCCCTCTTCCTCCTTTTTGAGTCTTTCCATGACTCAGCCCTCGCTGCTGAATACTTCTCTCTCTGTGACAAAATGCAGATCAACATCTCTCACACTCAAGCTGTTTATATCCCCAACACTGCCGGCTGTACGCCAGTCCCATAAGTGTCAAAACCGGTCCACACTGACCAGCTTCGTTTGACAGTGAGCTGCATTTACCGTTGAGCAAAGTTGTCTTCCCAAGCCCAAACACGCCTCCCCACTTACTATTGTCCTCTGTGGCCATACTGCATTAGCAGTGGGCTGAGATAGACTATAATAGTCAGTATTGAGCAGGTTCTGGGCTGTCAGACTGCGACTGATTGAGCTTGAGAGTTCAGGCACAGTAGTCAAGGTGGCATGTCCCCTGGGTCATGTTTGTTATTTCTGTAACAGACAAGTCTCAGGCTGGAGTCTGAGGAGAGCATAAATTAACACTGACTACTGCTGCCTCCCTTTTGCACCCCCCACGGCGAACTAGCCGTCTTGTCTACCATTCACACATATACTGTAAACTAGCACGGAAAGATAGACGGGCTCGCACACAGAAACAGGCACACGAACGGACACAAATATCCAAACACATGCTCTCTCGTTCAACTCTCCCACTTCTCCGACCATGAGTCCCCCCCTCCCTCATCACAGCGCGCCTTATGGCACACACCTCCTTCTCCCTCTTGTCCAAACACTATTAATTAAACTGTGAAAGAGGCCTTGACTAACACAGGCTCCCCAGCAGTCGGCCCTACTTGTCTGTCTTACTCAGTGTCAAACAGGGACGGAGGCCAGGAGGACTGGAGCTCAACAGAGCCACAAGTGGCATGCCATTTTGATGGGATGGGGATGGGGGGGCAAGAGGTGCTGGGTTTTTTTTTGTGTTACTTTACCTTGAGACGTCTGCCTGAAAAAAAAGGAGCTCTTTTTGCACATAAGAAGGGCTCTATTGACTTTAAGTGACCCATAGCTAAAGAGAGATCACCTTGGACGAGAGGGGGTCGGATTTTTTTTTTTTTTGTGTGTCCAATGAGCTTGGAGGTTCGTTATCTGTCCTAGAGGAACCATACAAGCATCTACCTACATAAATGTATACCCCTCCCTCTCTTAACTCCAAACCCCTTGTGGCCCACTAAAAATAAACATGTCCCCATAGACCTAACTGACCTACCTGTCAGCTAATGGGTAAAGGTTAAGACACAAATGCATGAATTAGCCAAGTTTCTGGTGTCTACACATAGAGCTGCTCAAGGCTCGCTATAGACGGTGCATGTAAACAGACAGACACATGTACACTCAGTTAGTGATCCCCTGAGAGTTTTAGAGCTAGTGGTTCCCTGTAGACCAATAGTCTGCTGTTGGCAGCCGGCATGACTGTTAAATTGTGCCGCACCACACTGAGGCATTAAATGTTAAGAAACATTCGGCCATGTTTTTGGACCTGTCAGGTTTGCTGTCAGTCACCTAACAGCCTGTCGCTGGATGAGGTATTTCTGGACCTGGTCTGGACAGAAAGGTCTGTTGGTTTAGTGAGGAAAATTGGACAGTCAGTCCGAGTTATGGTTTAAGAATCATGAGAACTCTGGCTGTAATGCTGCCTTTCAATTCATACTAATTAAACATTTGGTCATATTACAACCACCAACTTTGAAACTTCCCACTGCTTTTATGCTTTGCTTTGTAATAGTCTGTTTTTCCTTCAGTTAAACCCAAATAAAATACATTGGAGTTGGTAATTTTTTTTAAAGAAGCTTCTTTTCCATCGGCTCCATTTGACTCCAGCTCTACTCCACCCCACCAGTTTCAAACATTGCTGCTTTTTCTTTTGTTTTTTTTTGGCTCTACTCTGTACCAGTTCTGAAAAAGCAGCAGAGTCGAACCAGGCCAAGTGGAACAGGTGGAAAAAGGGTAGAAATGTCAAAAGTTCTTGGTACATGCATAAATTTGCATGCCACCTTTTGACCTGTTTACTGACCTGACCTTAATCTGTTGCAAAATAACAAATCAGTTTGATTTTTTATTTTTCCACAGAGCAATGCAAAGCTCCAGCACAAGGTAGGAAGCACTCTGTATCCAAAAGCCTTCGGCACCTCTTCCAACCCACCAGCAAATTCGTCAAAAGCTTGAAAAGGTAAGTTTCCAACATTAAACAGCATTAAATGTTTATCTTCAAGAATGTTTAAATGTATAGTTCTGTCTATGTTATGAGCTGTGTGTCAGTGTTTTTGGTAATAACTGATTTGTTTTTATTCCTATTGTTTTTATTATTATTATTATTATTATTATTATTATTATTATTATTATTTTTATTATTATTATTATTGTTATTATCTGGACATATTTTAGTGTATTAGTTTTTCAGAGCCTTAATAATTCAAGCAGCAGCTTTTTGAACTTGACATGTGTTTCTTTCCAGAGGTCTCTATCTTACCTCCATATTCTACAGAGATGACAATGTGTTGGTGACTCCAGAAGATCAGATTCCTATTGTGGAGATAGAAGATTCATATTCCAGCACCCTTATGCAGGACTTTCTTTGGTTTACCAAGGTAGGAAAATGACAAATGAAAAAAATGACAACTAAATGTAATTCAGAGACACCTTTCTGAAAATAATCTAATCTGTTATCTTTTACTGGGTAAATCATATGCCTTAATATCAGTAACCTGTAAAGAATCAGATCTTTGCATCAAAAGTTGTTTTGAATACTTTTTCACTTTAGAGTTTTTAAAGGTTTCGTTTCCAGTTCCTTATTAAACCCGCTGCATTCAACTCATTTATTTCCAATTTCAAATGCGCTTCAGTTTGCCTGTAAACCATGCAGGCATGAAGGGATTTCTATGGTAAAGGTTTATGATCTAACACGTCTGTCCCTCTAGAGGAAGAGGCATCCTAAAAACTTGATGCAATCACTGTGTTTTGTGCCACAACCTGTTATCCATGTAGGCAGTGTTGTTTTTTTGGTCTCATCAGAGCTCCGATTAGAGCAGTTTATTCTGCTTGTTTGCCGTGTTCCCTATGATCTGTAGTAAACAGATCTTCTTATGCCATTCTTTCGAAAAATAACTTTTTTTTTATATGCCATTCATCAATTAAAAACCAAATTGGACAAGTGCACACAGAAAACAATATTCTACAGGCTAAGCTGTGGATCTCTGAGGCTCCTCTAGAGATAGCATGGGGGTTTTGGTCGTATCTCAAAGCCACAATGAACTGACTCAAGGGCCCCGATTCACTGATGCATTATGTGTAACATAAACATCGTAAACGGCACACTTTATGTTGCTTTATAACTGCATATCAAGTTTTTAATTACAGTGTCAAAGCATATGTGTAGTAGTTAAAAAGGTCTTCATACTTCTCCAAAAGACCCCTTGGCTGAGAACCGCAAGAGATCTTAAGGCATGCTTTATTACCATCATGTCACTATATTATAATGTGTTCCCATTTCTTTGCACAAATGTATAAAAAAAAAAAAACAGCTTAATGCACATAAACAATGTGTATTAATGCTAAAAAGGTGCTCTCTTCGTCCTCTGACGTGGGGCTGGCTCGGAGCTCGTCTGCCTACCTGTGTTTTTCCTAGACGGGGCCGCCTGTGAAGCTGGTTTAACCCTTTAAAGCCTGATCCAAGAATAAAACAAAACAGAAAATTACTTTTTTTTTGGTTTGAATTCCTTATTTGCCCTTTTACCAAAATATGTAAAAAGAAAAAACAGAAATACATTTTTGATATTAATAATTTATTACTATGCGATAAGTCAAGATTATTTTTTGTGTAGTCTTCTACTGGCTGTTATCAGGTATATCTGATTGTGTACAATAGGATTTTGAGCAAAGTTTTTACCATTAAATTATGCAAAAGGTGTCAGATGCAAAACCTTTCAGAAACCGTATGTATCAAATACGATACATTTGGCATTATAGGGTTAACAGTTGCCTTTTGTATCTCTGTTATTTTTTCTTTGTTTGCTTCTGTCTCCTTGAACTCCAGTCGGCCTCGGTAGATGGCCACTCACACTGAATCTGGTTCTGCTGGAGATTTAAAAGGGAGTTTTTTTCCTCTCCACTGTCGCTACAAGCATGTTTGGTGTGAGGGATTGCCTTTGAGTCAATGAGTCAATAAGCCCGCAATCAGCTGGTTTTCCTTAGGTAGAAAACTTTGAATCAAATTGACTGTATGATCTGGTGAACTGTAAAGTGCCTTGTTGTGAATTGGCACCATATGCATAAACTGAATTTAACTGCATAAATTAGCACAGTATTAGGGGACTTACAATATGAGTCTTGCACTTACTAACCTGATGTCTTTAGTGGATTCTGAACTTTTTTGTGTAGTTCTGTTCGGCCTCATGCTTCTTTTGTCTGTCTTGATTACTCCAAGTTTAAACCAAACTCTGAGACATACAGTGATGGTTAGAAGAAAAATGGCTGGACTTGGGGTGACATCAAAAGTCCAGAAAGCTTATAATGACCACTTTAATATCATCAATCTGTTTCAGGTGTCATACTTATGGGAGGAGATATCCTGGCTTCAGCAGTTTCTCAGTGCCTCGCAGTCATCATGTTCATGTACTCTGCAGACCCGTCTAAAGATGCTGCAGGCAGTCTCCCAGCTACAGGTAGCATGATGGTTTGATAATGAAGTATTGATTGCTATCTTTTCATATGTTTTACTTAGTGGTGTTTTTTTTTTTTTTTTTTTCTTCGTTCAGGGAATGCTGGGCACACAGGACCTTGGCCAGGTGTATTTTGAGCCCATCAAAGACAAGCATGGCAATGCCCTGCTGGTCCTCCTGAAGGACATGAGCACCTGCCCCAACCTGGATGGAGTACGCTGGACACAACTTTGTAAACTCCAGCTTCAGCGCAAGTCCATCTCCTCCCCGGAGGAGCCAACCGCCTTGGACATGCTACTTATCACACTTCATGTGAGTTAGACAGAAGGAAGGTCTTGCACCTCTTATTGGAAGTCAGATTAACGTCTGAGGCAGGTATTTTTAGGCTTGCATCAGAGCTTCTTTAGCAGCAAGTAACAATTTGACAGCGGTGGTTCTTGATTAAAAAGCTTCATTCTTTTCTGGGTTTTTTTTCCCCCTTTAATTGAGATATGGTATGATAAAAAGGTGCAGGAGAAGATATTCAGCCAACACCAAAATGCTCCCCATAATACAGTGCCTCAGATGTATTTCATGTTGGAAAACCGAGCCTGTTGTAACACACGAGTATTAGATCTGTGACCTAAACAGTTTGTCCTATTAGAATTACTGACACTCATTGAGACAAAAATTAATCGTCTTTGTGAGAAACAGATTTGCACAGACTAAGATGAATTGATATGTAAAAGGTCAGGTCAGATATGAAGAACATATCTGGTGATCATGAGTGCTCAATATTTTACGCACATTTGTTTGTTTTATGACAAGATTGGATATTCTTTTGATTTTCTCATTATCTTCCCTCTGTTGTAACTGAGAGAGAACCAATGTTTTGTTCACTAAAGGAACAGCGTATGTTACGCCCCTGAAAATGGGGAGGAATAAAAACAATGAGAAGAGATGTTTCCTCAGCGAGAACTTTTACTCTAATAAATATTGGTTTTACAACAATTAACATTTATAAAATCGTACAGAGAGTGCACACATCTTACTAATATAGTATTTACCTGAGGCATAAGTCCTACAACAAACAACAGGTCCTCTGAGATTAACATTATAAAACCAAAACATGTTTATTTTAATAAAAGAAATGAAGCACATCATATAACCCATTAAACAACTAATAAGTAGCTTTGTTCATTAAAAGGTAACTGTTTCCTCACACATTAGAAAAACAACTTTATGCTTCAACACAAACTAGTAATGTAATAAAAACTCTTACAAAAATAAATGTGTGCAAAACCTCCGAAATAAGTGCAAAATACACCACCAAAAGCATTTCTGCGCATCTACAACGATTCAAAATGGCGACGCCCGTTACAACTTTGTGATGGTCGGTGCGTTCTAGCAGTGAGCCAACTGACACGCCCACACTTACACACATCACTACACTTCTGAATAACTTAAATTATAACAAACACATTTAACATTGCTTTAACATGTTAGCTGATTACTAAAATCATGCTAAATATGTTTAACAGTGACAACATACCTGAAAATGGGGAGGAATAAAAACAATGAGAAGAGATGTTTCCTCAGCGAGAACTTTTACTCTAATGAGGAAAAGACCGCGGCATCTCCAGGCATGTGGGCGGAGACAGACAGCGTTATGTCTAGTTCAAGATCGCCTCGTAAACTGTAAATTCACACATCTTAACCACAAATTACACAATCAGGAAGAAAATAAACCATGTAAGGCAAACCACTTTTTAGCGTTTTAACCCTTTTTAAATCAGATGATTTTCCAGATTACCCACTTTTGATTTCTCTTCTTAATGTATTACCGTTTTTTTTAAATAATGAATTCAATAAATTCTCTTATGGTCTAATTGATAATATCTACTATTTTAACTTATCACACTCTCCCCTCCAAAATAAATGTCGTCCCGACATGAAAACAATCAAATCAAACAGTCTCTTTTGAATTTGGATTAAAAATCCTTTTCTACAGACTGATTCTTTTACAGAGGACCAGGATCTCAGTTCAAAAACAACCAACAGTTGTCCTTAACAGTCCATATCTGTTGATTTCCCACTGTATAATCAGTCCATAAACACCATTTCCATATACCCTCGATCAACAGTCCATAAATGTCAATGATCTAGAGGAATAGTCTGTGGAGCAGGCCATGAATTGTCTATGGTGACGCTCTGCACACTGTTCATAGTTCTTGGTAATATGCCAGTGCTGTAGATTCCTGCTCCTGCTCCAGTTTATACATACTTACAAGGTGGTTGCCAGTAGTATGGGTGTAGCGATGGAATCCAGGGGACTAATCCTAACCCAGAATGGACAGGTGACAACTGTGGTGGTGGCTGAATACTGTAGCAGGAAGGGACACCAAGCTGATCGTAGGTCATACGCGTTGGTGGGCGTCTCTGTCTTGGTGGCAACTGGTATGTTGGCTCCTCAGGTTCGGCAGCAGTATTTGATGCAGGAGGGGCCTGTGGTGAGTGATCGGGCAGAGTCACAGCAGGTATGTTTCCTTCTTCATCCAGCATGTTTTTAACAGGTGTGTTGAGCTCCTCCTGCTGCTCTCCAACAAAAGAATGTACCGGTGGCGTAGCAGGGACTGAAACACTCATTTTTACAGGTGGAGGTCTATAGTCAGGATCCATATCTGGTTGAGCACTGCTCTCTTTTGATTCTGCTGGAAATAAGGGGGCTTGAAGTGGCTTATAATGAAGGCCATACTCATCCCCACTATCTTCATCAGACTCTTGTGGTTCAGATGCATGGTGGTACCTCTCTCTTTCCTTGCCTTTGTCATTTTTAGTTACTTCTAGCTGTGTCTCTAATGGTAAGTAGTCACAGGACATAAGCAAGTTCCTGTGCAGGATCCTGGAACGTCCTTTACCCTTTTCTGGTCGCACTTCATAAATCGGCATGTCAGGTCCCATTTGTCTAACCACTGTGTGGATTGTGTCCTCCCAGTAGTTACGGAGTTTCCCTGGGCCTCCTCTTGGTGTCAGGTTTTTAATCAGGACGCGTTCACCAGACTGTAGCACAGAACTCCTGATTTTTGTGTCATACTGTCTTTTACTCCTTTGAGCAGCCTTTTGAGCATGTTCATTTGCAATAGCATATGCTTCTTCCATTCCCTGTTTCCATTTCTCTACATACTCTCGCTGGTTGCTGAAACTTGAGTCCGCATACAAGCCAAAAAGCATATCAACTGGAAGCCTTGGTGATCTACCGAACAGAAGGTAAAATGGTGAATAACCTGTGACTTCACAGCGGGTGCAGTTATAGGCATACACCAGTTTGTTCAGAGATTCCTTCCAGTTTTATTTCTGTGTCTCAGTCAGTGTCTTAAGCATTTGTAACAATGTCCTATTCATTCGCTCCACTTTACCATTTCCCATGGGGTGATAGGGTGTCGTCCTAGACCCAGCCATGTCACTTAGTTTTTTTAACTGAGAGAACAGCTGGTTTTCAAACTCTCCCCCTTGATCGTGGTGGATACGGGTCGGGAACCCAAACTTCAGGGCAAAGTCATTGAAGATGAGATTTGCAGCAGTTTTTCCTGACTTTGACGTGGTGGCATAAGCTTGTGCAAAGCGCGTGAAATGATCAACGATTACAAGGATGTACTCATATCCCCCCTTGCATCTGTCAAGGTGGAGAAAGTCAATACAGACCAGTTCAAAGGGCTGTGTTGTCACAATATTGGTTAGGGGAGCTCTTGTTTCATGGCATGGCTTTTTCTGCTTGAGGCAAGTACAGGCTCTAGTCACATAGTGTTCAATGTCAGAATGCATATACGGCCAAAAGAAGCGATCACGTACCAGAGAAACTGTGCGGTCTACACCCTGATGTCCCATGTTATTGTGCAGTTCTTCAAGCACTGTTTGTTTGTATTGCTCTGGTAGGACCAATTGCTTACGAGAACTTATGGCCCGGTATAAAATACCATCACTTCCTAATGTTAGTTTGTCCCATTCTCTAAAAAGACATCTTGTCTCCGGGCGGAGTGCTTTTATTTCCTGTGGTGACGGTTTTGAATCCGACTGTTTACAAACAAGCATAGGGTGGATGACAGGGTCAGACATTTGCGCCTCTCCTAGCTGATCTTTCGGTATGGGGTTGACTGATGCAGGGGCTTCATCATCTTCGACTGAGACTGACATGCAAACAGCAGAAATTGACCAATTTACATTAGACTCTTCCTGTACCTCAACCGCCTGGATCATGGCGGTGATAGTATCAGGTAGAAGCTCCTTACAACATTCGCTTATCAGTGACTCTACATCCAGCGGCATCCTTGACAAGGCATCTGCATCACCATTCGCTCTCCCTGATCTTTACTTTATTGTAAAGTGAAAATCAGCCAGCTCTGCAACCCATCTGGAGGTGGTCGCATTCAGTTTTGCTGTAGACAAGATGTAGGTTAGTGGGTTGTTGTCGCTATACACAGTAAAGGTTGGTGCGTAGTATAGGTAATCTCGAAACTTCTCTGTGATTGCCCATTTTAGTGCTAGAAATTCGAGCTTGCCTGCATGGTAGTGATAATTCTTCTCCGCTGCTGTTAAGGTGCGAGAGCCGTAAGCAATGACTCTAAGTTTGCCATCTTGGTGCTGATACAATACTGCTCCCAAGCCTTGGTGGGATGCGTCAGTGTGTACAATGAATGGCTGACTAAAATTAGGGAAACCCAACACTGGTGGGTGAAGCAAACAATCAATCAACCATTCCAGTGCCTGTTGGTGTTCATCGGTCCATGTGATTGGTTTAGTTGAGGGCACGACATGACTTATTTTTTTACTTTTAGTTTTCTTTGGGTTGTAACAAACTTGATCTGTATCTGCTTTAAGGAGGTCATACAGACAGTTGGCCTTCCTGGAAAAATCTTTGATGTACTGTCTGTAATAGGTGAGTAGACCAAGCATTTTCCTGAGCTGGCCCACTGTTTTTGGTCTGATGTCTTTCAAAGCTCTAACTGCTTCAAAATCTGCGGGATCAACCCTGCTGCCCTCTGCTGAGATGATTCTGCCCAAATAACGGACTTCAGGTTTGAAGAGGTTACACTTACTTGGCTTGAGTTTGATGCCATGCTCTCTGAGGCGTTGCAACACTTTTCTTACATCGTGCACATGACTGTCAAAGGTTTTACTGAAAACCAGAGTGTCATCCAGATAGGGAATACAGATATTATCCCGGAGTCCTTCCAAACACTCCTCCATGCAACGCTGAAAGGCCGCAGGGGCGTTCATGAGGCCGAATTGCATACGTATCCATTCATAAAGTCCCCATGGGGTAACAAAAGCTGTTA